AAGTATGCGGTGTCTCTCTATAGTGCGTTACTTTGGCGTAGCAGATTTCTCTTTACATAGCTAATAAACTATTTTTCCAAGAATTTATCTTTCTTGTTACTTACTTTTGAAGAATTGAACGCCTCAATTTTATGTATTTAAATTAACCTCATTAGTGCATGTTTTATTTCCCATGTGAACTAAATAAAATTTCTAAATTTCAGAAAGACAATACTTTGCGTGTTCCTGCGGCTCTTCGAGAAATGGTAGAGGTTTTCCTAGCGAAGCAGTTTTGACAAGCGAGTCAAGTGAATCATGACTAATTTCCATCCTGTTTGCACGCTTTTGGGATCGCCAAATTGTGCCTAAGTTGAAAATGGCTTCCATCGTTTTTCTCAGGAATTAACAGATATTAAAGGCTATCTCTATGCAAAAGACGAGTGAATTTGATTTTTTCAGCTTTGCCAAAGATTTGCGATTTTGTTTGATTCTTGCACGGATCTGCTCTTATGACGCAGAATGTTAGTGAATTTTTGTCCTAACTTTTCCTTTTAGTTAATATAATTTAAGTTTATTTGTTAATTGTCATTTAATTTATCTTTCTGTAGTTTTCACCCTTTTCTGATTCGCAAGTGAATAAAGTGTAATTGTCAAGACGCGTCGTTTTTACTGTGCCAACGCAACAATGTACACAGTGTGAGAATTAAGTTCAACTTCTCCAGGGAACAAAGCGAGTCAGGTCAAATGTCGACCAAGGCTATATTGATCAGCCTAAGTATTTTTCGGTGTTACAACGAAAATTCAGTCCATTCAGTCCATAAAAGACCTCGTTTCTGGAAATGCCTTTAGTTAAATCATCCCGAATCACATAGCTGAATCACACGGATGGTGTATACGGATGGATACGTAGAGAATGTATGTACAACTTTTAGACCATTCCGCAGAAGTTTAACGATTTCAACTTCTTGAAGAAATGTAAATAGTTTTAAAATGTGACAACCAGCCGAACGATAATGTGCAATGATGCCGTACCAGCATTTAAACTGAACGCTCAAAAAATGCAAGCGGTTAAACATCAGCTCCTGTGTAGTGATCTGAATCATTCGTTGAAGCCAGCTTTTCTATAGCTCTCGACTATATATAACCACTTCCGAATCAGAGCGAAAGTCAAACACGATGAATGTGCAGTTAGTTAAATTAATAGAAGCAGGGCCAAATTAGACAGGAGTACCGAATTCTTAACGTTACGTTTGGCTCTTTGGTTTCATTTCTAAATGGCATGATGCGAGTAATTTCTGGACCGTTCAATGAATCAGTAAATACAAATTTGAAACTGCAGTAGCTATAATATTGTACAGCAGACTAGGACGGTCTCTATAGTGAGATATTGATGCAAGAAGCGATGACCAAACTGTGATAACCAGGTTAATGTAAACTGGCCTGTAATAATGTTCAGAAAGTTTAAGAATGAAACGTTTTTCCACAGTTTGCAAGTTAAACCCAGGTTTCTTATCACTTCTATTAACCCGAAGATGGAAGTAAGACAATGAAGGGCGGGAGTCGGGGGACAAAGGGCCGCTAAAGTACAGGAAGCGGGAGAACGTGAAACGAAAAGTGGGAGCAGTGACTCTCCCTGTCCTTTCCGCTCTCCAAAGGCCGTAAGGAAATTTATACTTTCCGCTCTTCTAAACGGGTGTTAGTTTAAGTCAATCAGCTCTTCATGATAATGAAGTACTTGATCTATCGAACATCGATACTCATAGTTCAACTATCATCTTTGATCAATCAGCATGATTTCCTGACCTTAAAAAATCTTAATCCTTTAAATAATTTTCGAGATGAAAAATCTGTTTGGCTCACATAGTACGGTATCGTCATTCTCATATGAGTCCCTCACTTTTATATCACAAATTTGGCGCTGGAAAATGAGTATCAAGTAACATGAGTAGAGACGAAACTTATCGCGATCTTCTATTACAGCGCGTAGAGCGTCAGTGGACAGCATGGAGACCGTTTATTTATAGTCCCGAGTCCCGCCAGTTGTATCCCTTATCCCGCTTCCTTGCCGCCTTTAACAATGGATAAACTTGGAACATCTGCCGAAGACAAACGTCGAAGAGTTTTTCTAAGATCTATCTTAA